TTATCCTTCTTAGTGTCTCAAACTAGATTCTGTTCAGACATGTTGTAACAAGTTAGTATGAGTTTATTTTGGTGCAAAAAATTGGAATTTATGCACAGATTTTTTCATAATATGCACTTTCCATGTACATTTTGAAGGCCCACATACATATACACATACACACACATATCTGGAAAAAATTAGAATACTATTTGACTTCTTTATATGTATTTTACTACTTAGATTTTTAAAATTTGACATCATATGATTGGTTATTTTCTATACTGTTTTCAGTGTTTTGGGCATCTTAATCTAGTTCTGCACATGCTTTTTGTCTGTTCAAGTTTACATAGGGAGAGACTCTTCTGGACTTTTCCAGATCTCTTTGCAAAATGATCTTTTATCAGGGATCAACTAGCTCTGTTTCATATAAACTTGAACTTTTCAGAGTCCAAAGTGAGTACAGGAACATGGGGCAGGCTGTACTCATAGACTCCACAGAAATGACCTCTAATTCAGAAATGACCTCTAATTCACAAAGCGGAAGGAAGGTCTGCTTCCCAAAACCAAGGGGATTGTGGGAATGATGAACACAGGCCAGTGAGCCCGTGCAGATGCCAATCAAAAGGCAAAAAAAGCTCTTCACCAAACGCTGCAACCTGGGAGAACAGCAGATGCTTGAGAGGTTTGACTCCAGCACGTCTGTTTTCCACTTTGCCTGAGATCTCATGGAGGCTGCTCTTTGTTTTTCCCTTGGAGATCATGCAGGAATCAACTGCCAAGCATGCCTTACACCTCCATGCCATCTAATTATAGCCTGTAACTCTCCGGAGTGCTGACAGTGCTGAGCTATTGACTCTTGACACTCTCTAAAGCTCTTAATTATCTTTTCACATAAGCCCCTTTCAGACCTGTCAACTTCTTTGTATTGTTTATGGAGGAAAAAAAGTAGCATATTAAGATTTCAGGTCTGTGCACTCAGAGGCAAACTTGCAGTTACACTTGTGAGTGCTCTTGAAGGTCTGTGCACTCACACACACACACACAGACAAGTGAAAAGTGTGGAACACACCTGCCGGATGACAATTCAAATGCCAATTTGTCATGGGGATAAGTAAACTTAATCAGGCAAAATAAAATTAACCCAAACCTTAATTCATATATTTGAAGTCATTTTAACCTTTTTCAAAATTCAAATATATAGGGATATAGATATAGGTATACACATACACACATTGCAATGACTGAAAATGTTTTTTTAAATTTATTCAAAACCTTACAACGTTTTTTAGCTCATCATGGAATCAGGGAATTTCAAAAGGATACCGATGCTTTACACTCTCTTAGAAATTATTATTATATAACTCAAATGTTTAAGTACTTAAAATATGCACATATATTTTTTCTTATTAAATATTCAAAACCTCTGAAAGACACAGACATTTGGGCATTACTGCTAACTGTGAATATTTCAAATAAAGTGTAGCTCAAAGATCTAGTGATGTGACCAAAGTCCTCTAATAAATAGTGAAATAAAACTACATTTTGGCTGGGTGCAGTGGCTCATATCTGTAATCTCAGCACTTTCGGAGGGTGAGGCAGGTGGATCATTGGAGGTCAGGAATTTGAGACCAGCCTGGCCAACATGGTGATACCCCATCTCTACTAAAAATATAAAAATTAGCCAGGCGTGGTGGCGCATGCCTGTAATCCCAGCTACTCAGGAGGTTAAGGCAAGAGAATTGCTTGAACCTGGGAGGGTGAGGTAGCAGTGAGTTGAGATTGCGCCACTGCACTCCAGCCTGGGTGACAGAGTGAGACTCTGTCTCAAAAAATATATGATAAAGACTACATTTTGGCTGCTTTGTCTATTGAGTAGCCATTCTTAATTTCCTTTTCTTTCTTAATAAACTTGCTTTCTAAGAAAACAAACAAACAAACAAAACCAACATTTCAAGTTAAAAGAGTTTCTATCCTAAAGTTAGCATGTATTGCAAAAATTGTAATTAATTAAAATTACCATTGAAAAATCTATTCTATGTCATCCATAAAATAGAATGCACGGAGGCACTGTGCACCAGTTATTTGGCTGGTGTTGTCTTGGATGTTGCTGCCGCTGCTATTTGTTTCTCTTACCGCTGGAATCAACTTCTGCCTCCTCCGCAGAGAATTCTGTGATGTTGTTGGTTGGCATTTAGGTACCATGTTGAATAGGAAACATATCTGAAAACCCCAGCATCCCTGTCCAAATGTGGGGATGCTCAATGAGAGGTAACAGGAAATGAGGCCGTTTTGAAAGGTCAAGGATTTACATTCCATAAAGCGCCCACCCCCCGGGGCATACCATCACCCACCAGCATCATTGGAATTATTCCATTCCCCTAACTTTCTTACTATTTCTTTGCTGACGTGTACGGTTGAAGTCAAGTAAGTTAAATAGACGTATCATGACCCTCTGCCAAATGAGGCTTTGGACCCTGATTTCAGCCCTTTCCTCATATGCTCTTTCATTCATCTCTAACCTGCTGAGCTGTGGAAGCAAATGGAATAAAGCCTGGCACTGAAAGAACACAAGCCTGGGCAACAGAGTGAGACTCCATCTCTACAAAAAAATAATTAAAAACAAATTAGGGGACCGGGTGTGGCGGCTCACGCCTGTAATCCCAGCACTTTGAGAGGCTGAGACGGGCGGATCACGAGGTCAGGACACGGAGACCATCCTGGCTAACACGGTGAAACCCCGTCTCTACTAAAAATACAAAAAAATTAGCTGGGCATGGTGGTGGGCACCTGTAGTCCCAGCTACTCAGGAAGCTGAGGCAGGAGAATGGCGTGAACCTGGGAGGCGGAGTTTGTAGTGAGCCGAGATCGCGCCACTGCACTCCATCCTGGGCGACAGAGCGAGACTCCATCTCAAAAAAAGAAAAAAAAATAGCCTGGCATGGTGGCGCACACCTGCAGTCCCAGCTACTCAGGATTCTGAGGTGGGAGGTGAGGTGACTTGCCTGAGCCCAGGAGGTCAAAGCTCTAGTGAACTGTGATCGCCCCACTGTACTCCAGCCTGGGCAACCAGGTGAGATCCTGTCTCACAAACATAAAATAAAATAATAAAATAAAAGAACACAGACTTCTTGGTTTTCCTTATGGAACAGAAAAATAGTGAAACTGCCCATGTTCAGCAATGAACCTACCGAATGCTTCAGGCCTAAAAGTAAAACTGAGAACAGGAGGGCAAAAAGATACCAGTGACCATGAAATGGGAAAGAAACATTCATTTACAACTCAGGACGATGCTTTTTTAATGGGGAGAGACAGAAGGGGTCATCTTTCATTGGATGGTTTATACCCCAGACACGATGTGAATGAAGAGCAAGGAGCCTTAGCTGAGAGAGCAATGTGAGTAACGCACCTAGAAGAAAGTCCTGGCCCTTACCTAAATTGTGGTACTTTGTCCTAAGATATGAGGGGTGCCCAGCAGGCCCAGGTGTAAGCAAATCTCAGACTCAACCATGTACAGTTAAACAAATTCCCTAACTCCTTGGGTATCAGTGTTCTAATCTGTAAACTTAGAGTCATGATACTTAGTTCACGAAGTTGCTGCAAAGATCAAAGGTGGAAATATGTACAAAGTATCTGCAACACGAGGTTTGGCATTCAAGTCTTATCTTTCACCAAAATCTTGCAGGGGCAAAAGGGACACAGAAATTCACAATAAAGAGACGAAACTATCAAATGCATCAGCTCTAATCTCACAATTGCATTTAATAATGATTGAGAATAAAATTTTATCAACATAATAATGACTGTAATTGCTTAGATAGTATATTATAATGGGATTAAAATTATAAGAATTTTAAGAATAAGATAAAATTATAAGATTTTTTGTGCTGCTTACATATGAAAGACATCTTCTATCAAAAACAGAAACCATCATATTTCAAGAAGCAGCGTAAGACTGAATTATCAATTCTCTCATTTGTAACTTCGTTGTAGAACCAATTTCCAGACATTCTTTTCTTTCTTTTTTCTTTTAAGAAATGCCCTTTCTTAGCATGAAAAGACTTGTAGGTTGAAAATCTGAAAAGTTTAATATAGAAGCAGTGGGTGATAGTTCCACTGCATAAAAGCAAAATCAGGACTGTAAGATGGATATGAGTGTGCTCATGATCTGGTGGAAGACCACCAATATGTTTTATTTCTCAGTCTAACTTTTGCATATCCCTGCAGGTTTCTCCTTCTTCTAATAGCAATAATGCAGAGTGGACTCCAAGGAGGAAAGCTGCACTGTAACTGCCTTGAAAAATTCACTATGAGGTAGAATTTTATAGTCTGGGTTAGAAAAGAAGAGGAGGCCTCCGGGCAGGAGGCGGTAATAGGGAGGTAAAGAAGAGCAGTAGCAAAGCTCAAAAGATCAAAGGGCTGAGCAGAACCTAGAAAGCTCAGCTTTAGTTTACATCTACCACTCAGACGTTAGCTCCAACTCAATCTCATTGGATATTAAATGAAACATTTTCCAGAGCCACTTCCTAGCAGGGGTACAGCATCTCCAATAGTCCCACCTTCCACAAGCTGCTTTCATATGACATCAGGTAATTTGGCTTTATTGGACATTTGATATAGAAAGATATAAGAGAATATATGTGATATTCAGAATAAGTGAGAAGACCAAATGTACCAGTTACGATGATTATCAACACTGGTAAATGCTGGCTAGTCTTCATTTCCCAAGTAAGCTGTGTTAAAAATAATTTTGTAAATCAATGTCTAAGAATTTAGAATATATTTTTCTCATAGACACTAAATCACCAGTAATTGTCATTTTTAAGACTAGTTTCCACAGTCTATTTTATCCACATTCTAACAAACATATTTTGCAATGTGCATGGTAGAGGGGACAGTATAAGGAAATAGAACACGAGAATAGCTTTGGCTTAATTCAAATTTTTCGTTAGAACTTATTACAAGATAAGTCAAACTTGTTAAATTGCACATTTTAAGCTTGTGCAGTTTACTGTGTGTCAATTAAAGTTCAGTGAAGCTATTTTTTTTTTTAAGTCCAAGAAGAGTTAAGGGAGCTCTTTTTTTTTTCCTGTCTTAGGCATCACATAATAAGAGAGAAGACAGTAAATTTCAGTTTCTCTTATCAGTGCTGAAGCTAAACTAAATGAAAGTTTCAGAGGTCTTTGTGAGCTGACCTCAAATCAAAACAGAATTTAAATTGTCATCTTTATCTAAAAACGTGGTCTTATCTACAATCAACATATTTGCCAATGAATTAGGCTTATTCAGAATTTGAGAATTGGTTCTATCTGTTTATCAACAATTATCTCCTTTAATTTGTTTACTAACCTGTGTTAATTGTAGAACAATCAGAAAATAACAATGTGCAGACAAAAATCACATTAAATCCTATCCCTGGAGATCTTCTTACCGTCAACTTTTGATTTTTTAAATTCTGCTTAAAGACTATGGATACAAATTATCTGAAGTGGTACAAAAATCAAAAATAATATGTATTTGGCTTTAGAAATTCCCTTGGATTTGATTTTTATATATTGGGAAATCATTCACCTATCAAATTACTACTATCTTCCTGCCTTGAAAAAGTAATTATTTCATTATAAAGGACTGCTTCACCAGCTCCTTATGAACTAGAATAAGTAGTAAGATTTATGCCCTTATTATTAATTCACATAAATTAGATACAGTTGCAATATGATGATTTTCTCAATTCAGAATTTACTTCCTACATTCATACTGATAGGTAAATATGACACCACAAAGATCCCGTCCCTGCCCCACTCATGCACAGACACACACTTAAACAGGATATCGTGCAGTCTAGCTTGTTAACATTGCACTACTTGTGACATTAAAAAGGGACCACTGAATTCTGATTATGCTTTTTATTTACAAATATATAAATATTTGGAAGCAAGTTTTATCAATATTACTTCAAGAAGTTACTGCCATGATTTTTTAAAAATGTTCTGATGCCTAAGAATGGTGGTGGTAATAAAGCAAAATATAACAAATGGTCTGTTTTTCCTTTCACTTCGTTTTGGCTTCCATTATTGTCTTTTCCTTGCCTTATCCGTTTCTTAGTCCACATTATTTTCTCTTTCCTTACCTTCACAAGAACACAGCCCATTAGCAAAAACCCCTGTTGCTTCACATATTCAATTACATGGTCTTTCTGACTCTTGCCTCTAATTCACCACCAACAACTACTTTTATTGCAAATCATACTCTAATTTTACTTTTGTTTATCTCACAGAATAAACAAGTTTGGAAAACACTGGTATGGATTCTACTAGGGAAAGAGTATTTGTGAATTAGAAAGCATGGTCTCTGAGATCAAACACACTTGGGTTGTAATCCCACTCTTTCATTAACTAATTAGGTGACTCAGTTAATAGCTTAAAAACACTGATTCTCATCTATAAAATACTACGAAAATGTATACTTCATAGGCTTCTTCTTCTATCATTCATAGAAACAGAAGTACAATCAAAACCTAAAATCAAAATCTCTCAGAAGGATTTTTCCTGTGACCTACAGCAGTCCCAGAACTTCAGGGTAAATTACTTGTCTTCTCATCTGTAGGCTGCTCTCCTCTTGCTGTCTCCTACCTTTTCTGCTGTCTCTACTACGTCCTCAGCTCCAGCATGTATCTCCTGCCATGACTCTCTCGAGATACCAGTATCCCAGCCAGAAGCTCTGGTTTGATCTAGAGCAAATGAAAAGGCAGAGAACCAGAATCAAACAGTAGGATACAAATCTAGACTCTGCCACTTACTATCAAACTTTAGCAAGTGATATAGTTTGGAGGTTTGTCCCTTCCAAATCTTATGTTGAAATGTGATTCCCAATGCTGGAGGGAGGTCCCAGTGGGAGGTGATTGGGTTATGAGGGCAGATCACTCATAAATCATTTAACATCATCCCCTTGGTAATAAGTGAGTTTTTGCTCAGTTAGTTCACAAGAGATCTGGCTGTTTAAAAGCCTGGGACCTCCTCATTCCTCACTCTCTTGCTCCTACTCTCACCATGGAATGCATCTGTTCCCTGTTCACTTTCTGCCATGATTGTAAGCTTCCTGAGCCTCTTACTAGAAGCATGCTGGCACCATGGTTCCTATGTGCTCTGCAGAATCCTGAGCCAATTAAACTTCTTTTTAAATTACCCAGTTTCAAATACTTCTTTGCAGCAGCACGCATACACTAATACAGAAAATTCATACCGAGAAGTGGGATATTGCTATAAAGATACCTGAAAATGTGGAAGCAGATTTTGAACTGGGAAATGAGAAAAGGTTGGAAGAGTTTGAAGAGCTCAAAAGAAGACAGGAAGATGAGGGAAAGTTTATCACTTCTTAGAGACTTGTTAAGTGGTTGTGACCGAAATGCTGATGGGAATTTGGACAGTGAAGGCCAAGCTGATGACCTTCACTGTAAAGCTTACCCATGCTATACCTTAGCAAAACACTTGGCTGCATTGTGTGTATGACCTAGGGATCTGTGGAAGTTTGAACTTAGGAGTAATGACCTGGGGTATCTGGCAGAAGAAATTTCTAAGCAGCAAATCTTTCAAGATGTGGCATGGCTGCTTCTAACAGTCTACGATTAGACAATGAAGTAAAAAAAAAAATGACTTAAAGTTGGAGCTTTTATTTAAAAGGGAAACAGAGCATAAAAGTTTAGAAAATTCACAACCTGGCCATGTGGCAGAGAACAAAAAAAAGCATTTTAAAAGAGAAATTCAAGTAAGGTGTAAAGCAACCACTTGCTAGAGAGATTAGCATGACTAAAAGGAACAAAGTGCTAATAGCCAAGGCAATGGGAGGAAGTTCTTGGAAGCACTACAGAGATCTTGGAGATAGCCCCTCCCATCCCAGGGCCAGAGGTCTAGAAGGAAAGAATGATTTCAGGGCTCAAACACAGGGCTCTGTTGCTTGTGAAGACAGGACACTGCTCCCAGCATCTGGGCTGCTCTGGCTCCAGCCTGGCTCAAAGTGCTCCCAAGTACAGCTCAAGCTGCTGCTTTGGAGAGTGCAAACCACCACAAGCCTTGGTGGTTTCCACGTGATGTTAAGTCTGTGGGCACACAGAACGTAAGTGTGAAGGAGGCTTGGCAGATTCTCCCTAGATTTCACAGGATGTATGGAAAAGCCTGGGTGCCCAGGTAGAAGTCTGCAACAGGGGCAGGCCCGCACAGAGAAACTACTAAGGCAATGTCAAGGGGAAATGAGTGCCCACACACAGAGTTCCCACAAGGGCACTGCCTAGTGGAGCTCTGGGAAGGGGATCTACTGCCCTCCAGACCCCAAAATGATAGATTCACTGGCAGCTTGCATCCTGAGCCTAGAAAATCTGCAGGCACCCAACTCCAGCCCATGAGACCAGCCACAGAGGGTATACCCTGCAAGGCCACAGGGGTGAAGCTCCCAATGCCTTGGGAGCCCAGCCCTTGCACCAGTGTGCCCAAGATATGGGAGATGGAGTCTAAGGGGGTTATTTTGGAGTTTTAATATTTAATGACTGCCCTGATGGGTTCAGACTTGCATGAGGCCTGTACCCCTTTTCTTCTGGCCAATTTCTCCCTTTTAGAATGGAAATGTACACCCAATGCCAGTTCCACCATTGTCTTTTGGGAATAAATAACTTGTTTTTTATCTCACAGGCTCATATGTGGAAGGAACTTATCTCCAGGTGAGACTTTGGAATTGGAACCAGGGAATTGGGACTTTTGAGTTAATACTGGAATGAGTTAAGATCTCAGGGGACTTTTGTGAAGGCATGATTGTATTTTGAAATGTGAGAAAGACATGAGATTTGAGGGGCCAGGGAGGGAATGAAATGGGAGTCCCAGTGTTACAGGTGGGGCCTGGCGGGAGGTGGTTGGATTGTGGGAGTGGATCACTCATGAATGGCTTAGCCCCATTCCTTTGGTGATGAGTGAGTTATTGCTCATTAAGTTCAAGTGAGATCTAGTTGCTTAAAGGTTTGGGACCTCACCCCTCCCATTCTCCCACTCTCAACATGTGATATGCCTGCTCCCCTTTGCCCTCTGCAATGATTGTAAGCTTCCTGAGTCCTCATCAGAAGCAGATGCTGGCATCACACTTCCTGTACACCCTGCAGGACCCTGAGCCAATTAAACCTTTTTTTCTTTATTAATTACCCAGTCTCAGGTATTCCTTTATTGCAATGCCAATGGAAATACAATTTAACCCCTTTGTATTGCAGTTTTCTCAACTATAAGATTGACTCAATGATAGCCACCTCCCTTGGTTTTTTTGAGACATGAATATGAAGTGTCTGGTGCAGTACACTTTACTGGAAAATAGTAGATGCTAAATAGCTGGAGTGATATCAGCATATCTCTTACAATGCCCACAAGTTATATTACCTGTTTGATCCAAATCTATTGTACCCTTGCTGACTTCCTAAAATAAAAAATAGGAGCAAATATTCACTTGACGGTGATAATCATGTGATAGTTTGTCATGTTAAGAGATACAGAAAGCTCTTTGTGTATACTTTACACAAACATGAGCAACTGATATTAAATCACCAAATCTGTATTTCCCAAAGTAGAAGGAATTATTTTGTATGAGGTTTGTATTAAAATTCACATTCCCAGATCTCATACTTACTGATTCAGAATTTCTTATAGGGGCCATGGAGCTAGAAATCTGGAATTTTTGGATAATTTTATGTTGGCTTCAATTTTTTCCAAGGTTTACATACTGCTGCTAAGTGAAGGTCATTCACTGAGCATGAGCAGTAAATTTATTTGAAAAGTTCCCAGTGCATAGAATTATTCTCTGACCACATATATGGGGGGTTTCTTTTCTTTTGAAAAATAAAATAGTCATGAGGAATAAAAATGTGTGGGAGCCTGAAGCTAACAAATCCAAAGTCAACATTGTTATATTTGTTTATAAAAATCCTGGTTGAAATGCAATTATGTGGTACTTGGAGGTGCTTGTAATTCAATGGCTGAATGCCTTTCATTCTTGTGCCCACCATCAACCCAATGGGTCAGTTTCCCTCAGTTCATGGTCCTTTCACATCATGAGTTCTTATATGCACATACCTTCAGGAACTATAGAATTATATATTCATTAACAAGGCTTATTTTCTGAGGCTAGCCCTTGACCATGAAATCCCTTCTGCTTGAAAGCTAGACCAAGAGATTGCTGTCCACATATAAATGGTTGTATGGTTCACATTTTTTTTTTTTTTTCCAAAAGAACTAGGAAAGCTTACCAAGACAAGTCAGTCAACAGGGGCTGTACTCTCTTGCAGATCTTTTCATTACATTCCTGGAACAACAATTTTCCAGAGAGTGTTGCAAGGTAAAACAATCTCAGGGGATTATTGAAGCGTTTTTGTGTTGAGCACTAGGGATCAGGGTCTTCCTCCTATGTACAGCCAAGCCAACTTAGTCAGCTCCTATGAGAAGACAAAAGGGAAAACATTACACCTGAATTGGGATTATGCTCTGCCGATGCCTCACACAAGCATACGCATATCCACTACTGCTGAACACGGCGTTCCTAAATGCCCTCTGGGGATTCGTGAAAAGCCTGGTCTTTTTATTCTCATTAACTGATACTTCATTTAAAATAATCAATTTACCTGTATTACAGTCCAGATACTTCATGAGTTGTTGTTCTGACCCAAAATTTTAGCAGATACTAGCTGGCTGCTTACTAATCCCATTTCATCTTCTCCTCAGGCACAAAAATCAAGCGTCTTCTCTAGCCTTCCTTGCAAAGAGGCATGGTTGTGAGCCTGAGTTCCAGCCAATGAAATTAAACAGAAGGGATGTGTGCCACTTCCAGAGCTGGCTCATAAACAGCCTTCCACACCATATACACTATGTTCCTTCTCTATCCAGTGGCTTGTATACATAGCTACGTAGGAAGCTATGTGTTAAAGATAATAAAGCGAACAACAACAACAACAAAAAACCCAAGTTCTTGAATCACCACTTGAAGAACAGCCCACCAATCAAGAATACCTACTTTATATGTGCAAGAAATACACTCCTATTGTATTAAAGAATTGCAATTTTAGCTTTTTATGTGGTATGGTGGTTAGCACTACCCTAATACATAAACCTAGCACACAAGTGTATCATATGTTGGAAACAAACCAGTTACAGCCACCAGACATTGAGTCCTCCAAAACACATTTCCAACTCAACTGTACACAAAAAAAGTTTTACATAGTTCTCATATTAAGAACTATTTTTCTCATAGTTTACTTAATTATCACTGAGAAAGGAATTCAGTTTTAAAATAATGATAATCCTTGACAAGAGTTTACAAAACATTTGCACATTGTCCTCAGATAAAGATGACAGAAAACATTCTCATTTTCTCAGGAAAAAGAAAACTAGGGGAGATGAAATGACATTTCCAAAATAACCCTGGTAAGTGAAGAAACTAGAAATCAGACTTTGGTCTTCTGACTCTAGATCAGACCAATGTTCTAGAATTCAGAACTTGGTCTTTTGATTATTTCCCTCAAACTAACTTTTTCCTTTGCACTCTTGATGAAAACTCATAGCCACTTCTCATAGAGAACAAAATCAGCTCAAGCCTGTTTGCCATAAGGCAAATATAGCACAAAACACTCCTACTTAGTGTCAGGGTCAATTGATAACTTGACTAGAAACCAGTGCTTTGAGAATGTCCTGACTCCCCCTAAAAGTCTATGGGGTCCTATTCCTGATTCTTATTTGCATTTTTGAGTTGCTAGTGTCATCTTAAAAATCATCTGGTCTGATTTGAGGCTCCTGATTCCAAACTCTGACTCTCAAATCATATTGTACTTTCCTCAAGCTAACATCCTGTATCTAAACTTATTTCGTTTCATTTAACCAAGTTTTCTCAGTTGAAAGTACCCGATTTTGAATCTTTTCTTCTGTAAGAGGTCAGAACAAATGTAAGCAACCAAGTTTGTTTTGCTGAGATCCAGTAGAATGACCACAGCTGGATTTGTTCTGATTCTAGACTCAGAAGAACATTTCTGTCTGTCACTAATTTTTCACTACCCTTAAAAACTTCTGCTGGCAAAGGATTAGATGTTAGTTTGTGTTCTTCCACAGGCATTTTTCTTTTAAGCCCAACAGATTTTCTCTCCATGAGATGCATTGACTTCTTAGCGGACTCTAGGATAATCCATCCCACTGGAACACCCAGTTTGCATCTCAGTGTGACAGCAGCCCTAGCACGCCAGCACCATCATGGTAATAACTTACAGCTGAGCTTGCTGCATTCTAGCCCTTTTAATGTAACTGTGTGTGTACAAGTATAAATATTCCCAGAGACGAGGAAAATATGCTCAATTATTTTATTGCATTATTCTACAGTGTACATGGTGTCTCTCCAGGCATTGAAAATAGCCCAAGTAAACCACAAATAAGATAAATCCTGTGATCATCAAAATGAGGACACAATCCAAAATATGACTTTGGTTTGTGGTTGAATATGTTTGAGTGGAAGATTATTGTCTGTTTCATCTTGATTCTGTTTCTTTTATGTTATATTTAAATTAATTACACATGGAAATACTTCTACAATGAGATATGGTGCTGATTTCCTAAGAACAAAGTGTGGTGGAAATCCCTGGATTTATCTGGGAAACATTTGATGTGAAATTACTTCAATTTTTATTTAGTTATAACTCTGACATCTAACAACAACAACAACAAAATGCTGCATGTGACAATTCTCATTGTCAATCTTGTTTCTTCTTATTCAAAAAGAAGAAAAGAAAAGAATGAGAAAAACAAAAATCATTACTGTAACGATATGAAGGTCAATTAAAAAAACATATTGCAAGACCCAGGTAATTGGACTTGCCAATCATAGTTTCCTTTCTCATGTATTACATTATTTAGTGTCTATTAGGCATCCTTAACTCACAATATGTTATTTACCACGTAAGAAAGGCATGGATAGTTTTTACTCTAAGTGGAATACAAGTTCCTATTTTATGCTGTGTAAATATAGTTTCTAAAAGCATTAGGTCCCACTTTGAAATGCCTATGTGAGCCATAGATGAGGTGAACATTTCATTTCTAAAAAGCACCATGATTTGTCCTTTATCTTGCCCAGAAAAGATGTCCAGAGAACTAGCCTGGATACTCAATCAGAAGGAAATAGCCAAAGTATTTCATTAATATACTTCCTTAGTTATCGTAAATAATAAAAAGACTAGAAAGAATTGCTAGGTTTAAACAGAACATAGGTGTACAATAATTAATTGTTGAATGAATGCATGGAGGGATGAATTGATGAATGATTGGATGAAAATAGATGGATTATTGCTGCTGGGTAGGTCCAGGTCTGAGCTGATGTCAAATGTGATGATAGAGGTATGAGGAAATTTCCTATGGAGACCTTGCTGAGGGGGAAGGGGCCCACTGTGATGGTTATCATCAGTATGGAGCTTTCACAAATCTAAATAAATTTCTTTCCATAAAATGTATCTACTATTTTTCCTTACATGACCCTTTACAACGACATTCTGGGAAAATAAGACTTCATAGAGGAAAGTGTTAACATGCTCTTCCATAAAAAAAAGTAAAAGTCTGAAGAAGGAATAAGATTTGGTGAGTGTCACCATCAGAAATATCCATGGTGACACAATGAGAGAACACTCTATACTTGTTAGGATGGTTATCTTAAAAAGAAAGAGAAAGAAAACTAAGTGTTGGCAAAGGTGTGGAGGAATTTGAATTCATGTGCATTGCTGATGAAAATATAAATGATGTATGCACTTGAAAAAGGGGATGGTGATTCCTTAAAAACATTAAACCTATAATTACCATACAATCCAGGAATTCTATTTCTGGATATATACCCAAAAGAACTGAAAGCAAGGACTCAGATATTTATGCACTCGTGTTTACAGCAGCATAATTCACAATAGCTAAAAAGTAGAAGAAAGCTAAATGTCCATTAATAGATAAATGGGTAAGCAAAATGTGCTGTATAAATATAGGGAATATTTTTCAGCCTGAAAAAGAAAAAAAACTTGACACACACTACAACCTGGGTGAATCTTGAGGACATTATTTTACGTGAAATAAGCCAGTCACACAAAAAGACAAATATTGCATGATTCTACTTGTCCAAAATAACTAAAGTAGTCAAATTCAGAGACAGAAAGTAGAATGGTGGTTTCTAGGTGTTGGAAAGTATGGGATAGGAAGGGAGGAATGTGGAGTTAGTTTTTAGTAGGTATAGATCTTCACTTGGGAAAGAAAAAGTTCTAGAAAGGGATGGTGGTGAGGGTTCACAACAATGTAAATGTACTTAATGCCACAAAACCATTCACTGAAAAGTTATGTGTATTTTACCATAATAAAAATAAATATCCATTAGAACAAAAGCGTTTTATGCAATTAAATATTCTCCCAGCAGAAGTCCAGGAACTATGAATCAAAAGCTAAGATTTAATGACCTTTGTAAGAGTCACTGGATCTTTGCATTTTCTTCTTGTATTAACACTTTTTCTCTCTGACCTCACTTATTATTAATAACAGAAAAGAAACTTAAAATTCTAATGTCTTGTTTGTTGACCTTTAGGAGGAAGAAAACTACCAGACTTTCTTTAACTCTGAATCAAGCAAAAAAAGGCAGAAAATGCTGAAGGAATTCATAATTATTATTATAGACAAAAAGGAAAAGAAAACTAGGACTAGAACACTGTGACAAGAACGAAACAGTACTGGAAGACATCATGTTTTATATGATTTTCCAATAACAGTTCAGATAGAGCCTACAAGAGACCAAAACCTCACCATCAAGAGAAATAGAAGCAGAAAGAATAAAAAGGGCACCGAAGAAGCACAACATAAAGCTGAGGTATGGCAGATCACCAGCTCTTTGCTGTATCTCAATTGTGTCATTCTTCTACATTGAATTCTACTTAGAAGCATTTGTGCTGATCTTGCCTACTAGGCTTGGAATTCTCTCAGTTGGCATGTAGTAGTCATTCAATAAACATATGCTGAGGAAATGCATGATGAATAAATAAATATGTGAATATGCTAACATCAGTTGGAATTCAATTCAATCCATAAAACCTTTCAAGGTGCAGTGAATGTTCTTCTCCAGGAATTGCAGTGTATCAGGCAAGCCAAATACATAAATAATTAATAGTAGTGGACTCTGACAAATGTATAATAGAGTTGAAAAGAAGTTAAGAAAAATGAAGACCACAGAAAGGCTTTTCAGAGGAGGTTAGATTTTAATAAGCCTTTGAAAAACGGGAAGATTCTGGAAGATAGCTAAGAAGCAATTAGAATCCTAGAAAGACGGGAAGACCAGTGTGCTTCAGGACACAGAAGCAGGAAATATACAAGCTGTCATTGGAGAACAGCAAGTACCGTTTCTAGTCTCATAGAATTAAGAATGTATTAGTGAAGGTCTTTT